GCGGTGCTGGAGATCTGCCGCTTGATCTGGTTAAGCTCCTCCTCCTCTTCATTGCCGTCCTGCAGATGCTGGATAATGAAGTCGGCGAAAGCACCCTTGTTCTTGACCAACTGATCGAATGTGCCACTCTCGCTAATCTCGCCCATTTTCATCACGTAGATGCTGTCCACCTGCGGCAGGAAAGTGACGCCGTGGGTGACCAGCACGCGTGACTTACGCGCCAGTATACCCTTGGGTCCGATCACCTCCTCGAAGATGTGCTTGCCCACATGGGCGTCTACAGCGCTCAGAGGATCGTCCAGCAGATAGAGATCGGCATCACTGTACACGGCACGGGCCAACGAGATTCGCTGCTTCTGGCCACCTGATAAATTAATGCCTTTCTCACCGATTTCCGTCAAATCTCCGGCCGACAAAATGTCGATATCGGCACGCAGGGCACAGGCGTCGATCACCTTGTTGTAGCGCTTCCGGTCGTAGGACTGCCCAAAGAGGATGTTGTCCCGCACCGTCGCATTCTGAATCCACGCCTGCTGCGGCACATAGGCCAACTTGCCCACAGTGTTGACAACGCCCGCGAGTTTCTCCATTTCGCCGAGGAAGGCCTGCACCACAGACGACTTGCCGGAGCCCACGGTGCCAACCAGGGCCACCAGGCTGTTCTTGTGCACCTCGATGTTGATATTGCGCAGCGTAATCTCATCGCCCCAGGAGAACTCGCCATTCTCAATGCTCATGGGGTGGGCTGTAAGTACATTAAATATGTTAACCCAAATATCTTAAGAAAATAATTAAGTATCCTTACGTTTGGATGGATCGTGGAGAACACTGTTGGGATCCAGTTCCTCACTGTTCAGGAATTTATTTATACGATTCACAGAAACTTGCGTCTAATCGTTCGCACATGGAAAATGGGAAATCGGTTAAAATAGTTTGCACAAAATGCAATATTTTGGTACACAGAAAATGTTAGTAGAAGGTTGGGGAAAGGAAGAAAAATAGGGGAGAGATGGGGAAAACGTAGATCCAAAACTAAATGAACAAGAAATATCTTCGGTCTTCCGAAGACTGTTTATACCCCTGCAGAACAAAAAAATGTAGAGCCAATGGTTTGAAGGTAACAAGAGTATAAAATTGGGTATATTACATAGGGTTATTAGTTTTAAATGAATAGAATCAATAATTAGTTTTATTATTATGAGGACTTTATGAAATATAGCATAATAACATAGAAGACCTAATGATGCAATGTTATCTTTGATTAATCCTATTTAAATACAAGATAATAATTTTCATAATTGTATCAATCAAAAATCCATAAATTTTCATCGGTATAGACAGACAAATTAACATGACTTCGTTATACCTACAATTAAATCTCCCATACTTATCAAAAATCCATATATTTTCATCGGTATAGACAGACAAAATTAACATGACTTCGTTATACCTACAATTAAATATCCCACACTTAATGCCCTCTGCAAGGGCATTTTTAAAACCCAAACAAATGGTTGCTATTGAAACGGATGGAGGAGGCATCCCACCACCTGGTATGTGAAATATCGGAGATGGTTTGTTTCGGACAACTTTAAAGTTTAAGCCCAGATAAAGAGATGCTTTAAAATTTAGGTGGATACAAATGAGTCCGAGGAATCTTTGAAGGATAGGGTAACATGGGTTAGGGGATATTTTGGGTGTAAAATTGTTTTGGCTAAAAAAGAATTCAAATTGAGTAAATAAACATAAATCACAATCACAAAACGGCACAAAATCGCCGATCACAGTGGGGCCGGGGACCAGTGTGTGTTATATTGAAAACATAATCCAACAGCCCCACTGTGATCGTCTAGGTGTAGTATTTGGAATTGCAATCGAGCGTAACTTACTTGCACCAGGTTGGTGATCAGCATGGGCAACATTGTTAACGGAAAACGGAGAATGTTGAATAATGATAATGAGACAAAGGTTTTGGTGGCATCAAGCACGTTATTTTCATCGATAAGAACGTAAGTGGCGAATGTGACTAATGAAACCTAAAAAATAATACACAATATCGTTTAAGGCGTTGCTAAAATGGCTGTTCTTGATCCTTGTTTTGAAGGTGATGGAGAAAGGAGAGGCGGTGATGCACCATAGCCGAAGAGGTTGTTATTCCATCGTCATCGTGGGCGCCGTACCTCGGCTATGTCAACACTCAGCATGGGCAGGATGGTCAGCGGGAGTTTCATGAGGTCGAAGAGGGCGATTGAGACTAACACCTTCTCGACGCTCAGCTGATTCGCCTCGCTGGTCAGCACGTAAGTGGCGAACGTGACCAAGGAAACCTTTGATTGTTCGGACACGAAGTACATATATTTGCCAGATTAGTCCAATGCTAAACGTCCAACTCATCTCGGCCAGCTGTAAAGAAATCTCGGAGGACTCAGAGCCCTGCGGGGCTGGCATATCTTACCAGGAAGGGGGCGCAAGACCACAGGAACGACGTTCCCGCATTCAGATAAGCGGTGGATCGCAGAGTCGCAATCTCCTTGTCACGGATGTCCAACACTTGCTTCTCGAAACTCGGCTCCCATGCGTACAACTTGAGGACCTGTTGGGATTAAATGTATTGTGAGCAAGTGTGGATTAGCTAAGAACAAGATTAACAAAGGATCAACTCCTGACATGAGTCACCATGACAACGAAGTATTAAAATACTTAAGAGATAAGCCTTTTACCGAAATGGAAGATAAATAGGTGTCTACTAGTCATTAAATAAAATTACAATTCGAATAACTTCTAGAGTTGATCCTCCTCTAAATATGTATCCCTAATCCTAGGATCACTCACCTTAATGCCACTCAGAACTTCATTCATCAGCTTAACACGCTCGTCCTTGTATTTCATCTGTCTGATCTGATAGGTTTTGATGCGGCTGGCAATCACTCCGTTCACGGGGATTAGGATTATCATCACAGCCAGACCGGCCAAAACAGACGGTCCCAGTTGCTGCCAGAGGAAATAAAGGGCCAGGCTGATCTGCAGAGGCGCCGACCAGATCATGTTCAGGTAGGTAGTCAGCTCCATGAAACGCTGTGCATCCACAGCCATTAAATTGACGATCTCGCCCACGGTGGACTCCTTTTTGGTGGAGTTAGAAATGAGCAGGGCCTTGCGGTAGATGGCGTTGATCAAAGCTGTCCTGATTCTCAGACCCACGATGAACATGCGGTGGAAATACTGGCCCAGAATAAAGGTCTGGGCAGCGGCCAAAACGAAAAGCAAGACAGCGTACAAGATACCCTTCCATTGGGGCTCCGCTACCGTTTCTTGGGCCTCAACGAAGCTGATGATCAAACTCAAAACTTGTGGCTGGGCAAACGTCAGGACGTCGGTAAACAACTTCATCAGCGAGCCGAACAGAAAAACGCCTCCGAAGGACTTGTAGATCGGCGGCATAATGCTGGCCACGCCCTTCTTGCGGCCGTTCTTCTCGCCGTGGGGATTCTCAAAGGTCACATTGCCATTGCTGAACTGCGCTTTCGGTTCCACGCGAGCCCTTCCTTTGTAGTTTTTGCGCACGTTCTTGTTCCAGTGGTGGGCAAAGATGGGCATGACTTCGGAGCAACTGTCCTGGGGTCTCAGATCCCACAGATCCTTCTCCTCCAGCGGGTTGCGGTAGCCCTTGAGGGCCATGCGGTCGAACCACTGATAGGTGATCCTAGAGAGGAAACTGGCCGACAACTCGGGAATCTCGTTCTCGCCCCTCTGGTACTTGGACTGCTTGGGCATGCCGTCCGCGAAGCAGTTCAGGATCAGCATGATGCAAGTGAAGGTAAAGAAGATGAAGAAGCTGACAAACTGGTACTCCTCCCAGGAGAAGTCCTGCTCCGTGGGCTGTTGCGAGTCCAGGACCTTCTGACGTTCCGCATCCAGCCGAACTTCCGTGCGGCAGCGGGGAATCGACAGCACGGTGAGCAGGAACCAAAAGAGGAACTGGCAGCCTGTGGTCTGGACGCCGTATTTCCGGTTCAGCGGGATGAATATGAAGATCAGCAGGAAGGTGGCGAATTTAATGATGGGACCCCATACATCCAGGTCGTAGAGGGGCAGCTCAGAATCGCCGCCCTTCTTGATCAGGGCCATAATCAGATCCAGGGCAGTGATGACCAGCAGGCCCAGGTTAACCAGTGCCTTGCTCACATTCAGCTTGTTCCAGGGAATATTCCTGTCCAGACTGGCTTTCAGGTAGTAGAAGTCGAAGACCACAAACGCCCAGTAGAAGGCGCAAGGCGTCCAGACCAGCGCCGTCTGCTCAAAGCAGGGCGTGAAGTCCGGATCGGTGGTGTACCATGTCTCCGTTGAGTTCTGTTCGGCGGATAAACGGAAACCATATATGTAGTTCCTGACCCAAACCCAAGAACCTTTGCACTCACCCAGAACGTGGAACCGCAAAATCTGTCCATTGGCGAGCTTGTGTCCTCCGCCATGGTCACTCGTCTATGCGGCAACCTTCTCCACGTGCAACTGGGTTATATCCGCTATATCGGGCGATGTGGTAACTGTAAGGCGGCAGGGAATTAAACGGGTCTATATTTTCTGGCCAACAGCTGTTCCTTCCCAAGCCGCACAACTACAAAAACCGCTAGTGGCGACAGTGGGAGAGGTTTTCCCAGTACCGGTACTGTTCTGGTATTTATTGGCACAGTGGGTGTCGGGTTAGAAAATTGAATCAAAATGTGCTTCCAGCATAATACATTTTGGAATTATATAAATAAATTTGGAGCACTTTGTTCAACACTTCTTAATTATCAGTCAAAATTATTAATTTAATATTTCTACGGAATTAAAAATGATTTGTATTATTACCATTTGTAAACGTATAAATAGATAGCAAGTCACTACTTGGCATATACTCAATTTATTAAAACCACTTCCTGTAACGCGATATCCACCATACTAGTTTCTGGTATTTAACATGTACTGTGTGGCATAGCATGATTCTCCATTAACGGTCACACTATCGCAGCCATTTTCATTTCAACCGAGTTGACAGCTCCGTTCTGATAAAATCGTAAATTGTGTATTTTTCTTTCGCAAAACGTATAATCCGCATTTCATTTGCTTAACTTCGTGACAGGCTGTTGAAATCGCAAAGCAAAATGTCGCGTCGCTCCAATTTCATTGAGGGCAACGACAATTTTCGCGAGCAGAACTTGCGATTCGTGCGGGTAAGAAACTTAAAGACTGCGATGTGAAGAACTTTAATTTTCACATGTTTTTTACGCAGAACGAGTTTGAGGACAACATCAACCAGTTCTTTGGAGGTGCTAATCCCGGTGGAAGTGGCCAGCAGCAGAAGCCTCCGCCGCGGGACTCGATAATTGTGCAGCCGACCGCAGGTGAGTGGCGACCAGAGCAGTAACCGGAATTTCACAGGGGACTCTAATCTTGGCCGGCGGAGCGGAGAGTCCCGGTGATTCTAGCCGGCTAGGCATGACACCGAGTTTATGGGCTCTAATCTCTGCGAGTGCCAAGCCATGTCGACCAGATAAACATCTCACGTCGCTATCGATTGCGCATAAGGCCGGTACAGTGAACCCGCGATAAGCAGGCAACCGGAAAAGCGAACGCGCCTTAAGTTCTTCACCCTCAAATGCCTTGACTGTTAAACAAAATGCAATATAGAGATAGTTTCGTTAAATACCAGTTTTAGGAACACTATGGGTTTAGGAATTGGGTTTTAATTCATCAAAATCTTATTTTTGTTTGTAATACGAGTTTCTCAAAACTGATACACCACCGAAGTCCAGCGCAATCTAAGCGATTCAATTAATTTTAACTACATATTTCCCTGAATTAATATACAATTTATAAATATTAATGAGGTTAATGTTAATGTTTTTTTACGTAAACTAATAGATACTTTTTTAATTACTATAATAACAACCTTCTTAATGACAAGTCAAAATTTTTGTTTTTTGGAATAGAACCAAACAAATTATCCTGATTTTATCTTTCATTCTAGTTTTTACACTCAACATATTATTTTACAAATTATCCCAGTGAAATCAAAGAACGCGGCATTTGAGGGTTAGGAGGGTTAAATAGTTTAGTTTGTAATCTAGCCCCTCGTAATTGTGTGCTATGCCGAGATAAGTGTTTACATGTCCAGGGCCACCTGGTGGAAGGCCTCATCGCGCCCACTTGAAATGATAGTTTATTGCCAACGACTGTCCATTGCCAATGACAAATAAGCAACGAAAACGAGTTTTCCCGCCCCAAAGAAGAACTAATATACACAAACAAAAAAAGAAAGACAAATTTCGAGCTAATCTTGACCGAAGCCGCGAATTTCGTTTCAGCCATTGGGCTAGTCACATCTTATGGGCGCTATAAACTTGTTTGCCCGTTTACGCATGTGTTTTAAGCATGCGGCTTTAGATAAAATTCTAACATAGCAGAAACGGGTATTTTAAGTTCGATATAATTAACGACGAAACCTGTTCCCGCAGCGATTATATAAGCACAACAATCGGCAGACGAAAACCCCCGACAAATATAATACTCAATTGCACAAAATGTGTATTGATTTTGACTTCGACGAAATTTCTCTTTAAGACAAAGCGCCAAGTCACGATGAGATGCTAAGCGAAATGGAAACGAGACCTCTCGCCTCTCCAACAAAATCAAGGGAAAATCACTGCCTTAGATTTCTCTGGCTAAAACCATTTCTCTTACTTGACACCTTATTTGTTTGTTCTGGATCTTGCCAGCCGGCATAAATTGTTGATACGTTTTTCTTTGCACCGACAAACAACCGTGATTTATTTACAGAATATTAACGACACTTGACAGTTGCTGTCTTTATGAACACAGAGCGATAAGGCTGACTGACTGCATTCAGCTGAGTGCAAACTCCAAAAAAGGAACTTCCCTGAAGCGAAATGCTCTTTACTAGCAATTCCTTATCGGGGCCCCCACGGCTGAACCTTATCGGCCCCACCATATACTGGATTCTTCTATTGTGTTTGTCGTTACTCTAGTTATGAATTGCATATTGTAATCCTTATATTGTTGCTTATCGCACACTTGTTTGCTTTAGCTGCTGTTGCTTCTTCGCCCCGGGAGCTTCGCTTCAGGGCTCTTTTTTCCGATCTGACTATCATCGTGATGGCAGAAGCTGTCGAAACTATAGAACAAGGCCTTTCTTTCAAGGCCTCTGACGTCAGATCGGTTACAGTGGAACTCACGAGGCAGTTATTATCTATCACCGTGTAATATCATTTGAATGAAAAACTTCAACCTTGCGCACTCCAATTATACATTTTTTATCAATTAAATAAACGCGCTACAAGCATGACAAAACACTAATGGTTATTATCAAACAATTTTGATTGTGAATCACCCATTTTTCAAGAATGTTTACGCGGGATTCTCTGGAGCCTTTCGGAAATTTCACAATTTCAAGCAAAGATACTTTCGCACCCACCACGAAATACAGATACATTTCACTTAGGCACAAACGCACACTCACACACTTGTTCCGCTTTGGCGGACTCCAATAACAACAACAGCGAGAGAAACAACAATGGACGGTATCGATGCGACTGAAATGTCACTTATAATTACCTCTACGTATAAAAAAAGTCGCTGCGATTCGGACGGATCGGAGTGAATAGAATCAAAACGTATCGCAGCGGTTGGGATCGGATCGCTTTGGATGGAGGGCAGCGGCAAAGCACTAGAAAACGACGTACAACCGGCTCGTTGCGAGCTAAAAAGGCAACTGAATTCGAGCCAGGCGCGGCGAACAAACTTATTTGTTTTGCATTCCCATGCTGAAAACAAAAATGAGATAATAGGCGCCTCGGAGAGGGAAATACCTCGTAAGACAAGAGAATATGTGTATACAATAGAAAACGTTTGACTTCGCTCTTTCTTTTTTGGCCTCCCGGTCAATTAAAATCCCATGCAATCAAGGCCCGACTCTCTCAACAGGGCCATAAGACCACGTTTGGTCAGAAAAAAAACCTATCAGATACCGAGAGATAACGCCGCTCTCTTCCACAAATTTAAGTGGTATATCAACAATATGGACTTTCCGGCTCTGGTGAAATTATTAAGACCGCGTGTAAAGCTAGCAGAGATACGAAAATCACCAAGAGTCGAGCACTCTTAAGCATTTTGTTGACGCAAGAGCAACAGAAGTCCCCAATTGATAACGATACTAGTAGAAGCCCCCCAATAGGGAGGATTTAATGGGTGTTTGGTTGCGAGTACTCCGTGTTTTTGGAATAAGCATGACCATTACTATTCCTGTAGTTTGTACGTGTGGCCGAGGGCTCCTTGGCATTTTATCAGTTTGATGTGTTTTGATTTCATATTTATATTTTATACGTACATATGTATGCGTATGCAGTGCTGGCCCGGCAATTAAAAATATGCTCGGAATATTCTAGAAACGCAAAGAATTCCTGTAAAAATTCTAAATTCAATAAAAAAAGGTATAGGATTGCTAATCTAATCAACTTGAGTAATGTTTAAATTAAAACAATAGATAGTGACGATTTTTTTATAGATTGGCGAAAAACACCAAACATCAACTTTAGTCAGCAGTTCGATGACGACTAAAACGGCAATTAAGTTTGATGAATTTTATATTCAGTTTAATATTTTACCCATTGGCTATTGCAATTAATTTAATGAATCTGTATGTGAGCAAGTCATGAATTTAAATTTTAGACTTAGACTGTCAAGATATGGAAAATGAATGATGTTATTACTTGTTTATGATTTATTTTATTAAATCTATACAGTATTAATTTAAAAACACTTTTTAGCGAGCTCTGCATATGTAAACAAAAATTTTTCATGAGTAGATTATATTGGAAGTGGTCTGCCAAACTGATAATACCTCTAACCCACGACGTGTTTGCTTTTCTAAATTTCTAATTTCATGTGGTACCATGAAATTAGGAAACAACGAGCTGGACAACCGACGGGAGTTTCTCCGCGAGCTGGGCGCCAGTCGGGTGTTGGCCAACGCCCTGGCCCAGCGCACCCTCAGTGTGCCCAACTTCAACCTCCGCCAGTTCCAGCGCCAGAGGTTCCGCCTCAGCGTCGAGCTGGGCGACAGTCGTCAGGACGTGGTGGACAAGGAGGTACTGCGGGCCATCGGGGAAGCGGTGGAGAACCAGGACGAGGTTGAGTCACGACCACGTACTCCTCCGCCGCCACGGAACATTAACTGGCACAACGTCAGCCGGGATGATTCGCCGGTGAGGGGTGACCGATCACGTCCGAGGAACCGTCAAAGAGATGGCAACTTTCAAAACCGAAGAGACAACAGTCGGGGATTCGCAGATCAGCGGTTACCAGTTCGGGAACCAATCAATAGGAATTCTGGACCTGTTAATGTTCCCATTAATCGAAATCAGGACATCAGTCGTAAAAATCCTGGAGGAAATCCTGAAGATATAAGAAAAAATCCAAACAGAATCATTGATAATCGAAATGCAAGTCGACCAGAGTTTAATCGTAATAATATAATTGATGAGTTCAGTCAGGAACCAGCACGGCCGCCAAACAACAGGAATTTCGGACCTGTTAATGCTCCGATCAACCGAAATCGGGATGTTAATCGCAATAACCCAGTCCAAAATCCTGAGGAGTTAAATCGCAACATAATTCCTCAAGAATTTAATCGTAATAATAGAAATGATGAATTCAGCCGTAACAATCGTAATCCAAGCCAGCAGGACTTTGCTCGCAATAACCGTAATGTGAACAGCGTTGAATTCACTCGGAATAATCGTAATTTAAATCCTCAAGAACTTAATCGGAATAACCGAAATGAGAATATACAGACGAATCGACAGGATTTCAATCCTCCCAATAGAAATGCCAATCCGCGGGATTTAAACCAACCTAAGAGAAATGTGAATCTGCAGGAGATAAACCATCCTAAAAGAAACGTAAATCCACAGGAGTTTATTCGCTCTCATGGAAATGCCAATCCTCAGGAGTTTAATCGAAATAATCGCAATGTTAACGACGATGAATTCTATCGAAACAATCGCAATGTTAACAACGATAGGTTCAATCAACATACTCCGCAAGGACCTAATGGGAATAATCGTTATGCTACCCAGCAATTCAATCGCAACACGAATGTCGATCAAACTAATTTTAACACCCAAAATGAAAATATTCAAGTATTTAATCGCAATACCAATAGCAGTGGCCAGTTGCAAAACACTAGAGGTAATCCCTCAAACTTTAATAATCCTCGCATAAACAACAATCGAGGATATGGTAATCAGAACTTCGTTACCAATCAACAAACCAACTTGGACCGAACTTCAATAATTAATCAACGTGGCAACATCGATGAGAACTTTCAGCTGCCTAGAGATCAATTCCATTCTCCTGATAACCGACCGCAGCAACAACAGGAGCTTTACGTTGACCAAGATATTCCTGATTTAGACGCAAACGTTGGCAGAAACCCTGGACCCCAAACCGGTCGGAATTATCAGCGTATTGTCAACGATAACCAAATAACGCTTTGTCGGACTGACTGGATTGAAGCTAATGAAATAAATTTATATGAAAACAACTTACTCGAAGATCAAGAATTCATTGATGAAAGAAATGGTGCGACTATAAACGATGATCATTTTCGTCCAGGGCAGCCTGATCATTTTAGAAGACCAGATATGCGCGAGCGAGAAGATCGTGGTTTCATTCAAAACTTGGGTAACCAACCCAGCCCACGAGAACATGGCTACGATGAAGGTAATTCATATGGACGTAATCGCAACGAGCGTAACTTTGACGGAAACAGGCGCCAGTTGGATCGAGAACTTGATAGTCGCAATCCAAACGACGACTTAAATCAGCGAAACAACTCTTCGCGTTCTGTTGACATCCGACGCTTTCCACCTAGGGAAGACAACACATTCCAAGGCTCAAATAACCCTCCTTTTCCACCAAACCAGTATCAGCCAGCTATCCACCGCGGATCCGATTCGGTGGATCGTTACCGCGACAACCCGCAAACTGGCGGTCCAAGTCTTAACAGACCCAAGCAAGGCAGACCGAATGTACCAAATGCAGATAGAATTGCACCAAGAATTGGCAGTGGACCACATCAAAACAGAACTACATCAAGTCTAGATCGTAATATGAAAAGAAATATTATTCCCGGTGGACCACAGCAACAAAGATCAATTTCAAGATCAAACATTAATCCTGGCGTGCCAAGCCAACCAAGATCTAATTCGACAGCAAGTCAAGATCGCAATGCAACCCGGAATGTGAATTCTGGTGGTCCCAATCAAGGCCGACCAAACCAAGCTCGAGATGGCAAACCTGGTATGCCGAGCCAAGACAAAAAAATCCTTGGACCAAATCAAAAGAAACTCAATCAACCCGCTAGCGTTGCTAGGAACACCAATCGTGGTGCAACGGGTCCGGGTCAGCAGTCAATTAAACCTAAACCTTCTGGTTTAGCTACTACGAACAATGCGGCCATGGCGAATCCACGTGCTGGTAAGGGCTAAGCATTTTTCTTCATTTTTAAAAACAATCTTGAACGAACCAATTTTAAGTTACATAAAAGCATATTGTATGCTTTCAAATAACTAAAATGGTTCCGACATTTCATTTTAACCATGGAATGCAAACCGAATAAAATATAATTTTTTCCAATGTGATCCACAGCTTTTTTATATCACACCGTTTTGGATATGGCTAGAATTTAAATAGTCTCCCTTTCCTTACCGAAACTTTTTTAAATCATGCTATAAACATTTTTAACATACCATACCTGGTTGAAGTTTTCTAGGACTAAAAACTTATTTAAAATGTTTAAAAGCAGTCGGGAGCAGCAGTGGTTAAACTGTACTGAGTATTTCAAGGACTAGCACTGGCTCCTTATCTTATTTATTTTAACCTAATTGTCCTAGTTGGAACTGTCCTTTGGTTTGCATTCCTAAATCGTCGAAAATACCTCAAAAATAGACGTATATATATAGTCATATTGAATTTTGCAGGCCAAAAAAGAAAAGCTGAGACAGCTGAAGTTGGGGCTCCGAACCGGGCTAAAAAACCCGTACCGATACTTCCGAAGGTGGACACAAATCGTAGCTTCATCATAGGCGGAATGCGCCTTCCCTACATCAACAGCAATCGCAAGAAACTACCACAACCAGAAGAAGAGTCCTACGCGGTGACTTTCTTTGAGCAAACGCCCATCTACAACACAAACATGTATGCCACTGATAATGGCGAAAATAATAGAGAGAATGATGAGGATGAAGTTGAAGAAGACGTATCTGATACCGAATCCCTGGAGTCGAACCGATCCGGTCTTCAGTCAAAGATCAAAAAACGGGACGCTAAGAAGCTTCGCGCCCAGTTGCGCAGGGATTGGACAAAAGTTTATAGGACCAATAACTACAAGGACTGGCATGCCTGGTGGAGGGATTACAAGTGGTGCGGCAGCGCAATCAACAAGAAGCTGGAGAAGTTCGGCGACCGCAACTTGCGCCACCGCTTTAAGGTCCCTGGAAAAGTCATCACCAAAGAAGGGATTAATCAAACATTCAAAAGCGGCCACATGGGCTTGGAAAAAAATACTTTCAGCCACTACCGCAACATGCGTTCGATATACCTTTTAATGAACGAATCTTTTCTCGAGAGCTTGTCTGTTACGCAAATTGAGGACTTACAGGACTTGATCCGTGGCATTCCCAATCACTTATGGCTGTACAAGATCCGCGCTATGGTTTACCTTTGGGAGAGGTATCATGGCGCACTAAAGAGTGCAGCCCCAAAAAATATACTTAACGCTAAGGAAATTCAATTAATTGCGAAAACATGGCGGAATCCCGCCTTTCACTGGCTTGCCAAGCAGGCTTTCGATGAGCTAAAGGTGGGAGTGAAAGCTTCACGAACCTAAAAGCACCTGATAACAAGAAATACTTAATTTTCATATGTTAAAATAATTTTCTAAATGTGTATGTTTTTAATATAACGTAATATTGATTACAAGTAAAAGGTTACAGAAGCAACAAGCTTAGGACAAAGTTTCGTTTTAAAGTTTGAAATATAATTTATATATACATCTTGTTGTCAGGTGGCTTTGCCTTCATATCTAACTACACGACTAACAAATTACTTATTTATATTTATAGGCAATCAGCGAAATCGCGTGGCCGGATTTCAATAAAATCTACCCTGGCCTGAAAGAATAAATTAGTGCAAACGAATTACCCAAATATCTTTAAACTTAATGTATATTAGATTGTATACGGAATAAAAGGCAAATAAACGATGGGTTTTGCTTCTGCAATGGAAATACGCTTGAATCACCATAAGATTGATTAGTTACATGAAGCTTTCTCCTGATAATAAAGTCTAATATTCCTTTCCGTTTCCTCTTTCTGCCTCCCAGGAATCTGCGTGAAGAGCTTTAAGTTAAATAGCGATGAGAAGTTTTTCATCAACGTGTGCCAGGCACCGGAAGTTCCAGCTCCCCAAGATGTCACCGAGGAGGAACTGATTGCCATACTGGAGTCCCCTACGCCTGGTTCGTACCGGGTGCCAATGAGCATCTCAGAGCCAAGACACACAAAGGACCGCTCCGATAAAACCGTCGATGTCTGCGATATTGCCGTCAATCCAAAGTTCTTGGTAAAGATGCAGAAATCGCAACTGTTCAATAATTTTTTTCTGCAAATAGTGGCTGAGGCCCTGAGCGAAAAGTACAATGTGCAGATCAACATGGAAAAAACCATTATCCTGAACAATCGGAAGTTCATCGGCACATTGGTTTCTCACAGAGTGCGCAATGACGATGTCCAGAGGGCTCAGCCTGCTGCTGCAGGCCCGGCTGCCATTACTAGCCAGGATACGGCATCGACACCAGACAGGTCTGGCAAGTTAGTCCAGGAGATCAACGAGAAGGATGCAGCGGCCATTAAGAGTACCCGCCAAGTCGCAGGCGGAAGTCAGGACTTGCAGTACAAGCTTCGCGCTCGAGTTCGAGACGATTCTGTTGATGAAATCCACGCTGAGATTTACCTACCAAATTGCGTAAGTATTAACAGCATTCATTGGCAAAAAGAAAGGACAATCAAAGTAAACGCCTTGTTTAAACAGGTTTCTTCGCAAGAGGTAAGTCTAGATGTTGGCGAGGATCGTATCCTAGTGGAATCCCATAGACATGGCTATGTGTTTGACAAATTTGTCAATTACCGTCTGCAGCAAGATCGTGCACAAGCTTTATTCGATAAGACCAGCAAGGTAACCCACTGCGCAACAAACAAAAAAGCCACTCCTAACTCCCGATTTGTTTTTTTGTCATTTCAGATGCTACAGATCCGCATCCCGGTGTTTAGTAATTAAAAAAACAATTATGTTTGCCTTATGTAATGAATCATTACCTTTGTGATAATGTTAATAAATGCTGAAATTCAGAAGTTACTTATTTAGTTAAGTTTATGTATCGCATTGATGTTAAGGTTGTTGGTAGCAACATTGGCTTTGATTGCATGTTTTTTACAAGTATTGAAAATTGCGAAGAGTTGATGTTATCTAATTAAGATAAGATCAAATTGTTACAAATCGAAAATGTTAACTTAACAGGCCTCTGTTAAAATAACAGCTGTCAGACTCAGCTGATGCAAGCGAACATTACGTTTTTACGAGCCTAATTATACCCGTTACTCGTAGAGTAAAAGGGTCTACTAGATTCATCGGAAAGTATGTAACAGGCAGAAGGAAGCGTTTCCGACCGCATAAAGTATATATATTCTTGATCAGGATCACTAGCCGAGTCGATCTAGCCATGTCCGGATGAACGCTGAGATCTCGGAAACTATAAAAGCTAGGCTATTGAGATTTGGCGTGCAGATTCCTGAGCTTCTGAGCATGAAAATTGTGGGCGGCACAGGTTTGGTCGGTATGTGGGCGTGGCAATCTTTTTTTTTGATCAATCGATAGGTATTGACGAGACTAATACATTTTAAGTTTGGGCGGTTTGTGGGCGTGGAATATTCACGTAACAAACTTGCGCTGCGCTCAAGGCTACGGAATCTAAATCTGAAATCCCAATTCTTTGATATTTTCTGAGATGTCCGCGCTCATATTTGATTTTGAAGTTTGTGTTTCAATCGGTAGGTATTGATAAGAACAATACATTTCAGTTAAAATTTTTATTCCAGCATCAAAACTGTTGGAGCCACAGTTTTGGGCGTTAGAGTGGGCGTGGCACATTTCTGAAACAAACTTACGCTGCGCAGGAAACTCAGGAATCTGCATGCCCAATCTCAGTATTGTAGCTCTTATAGTTTCCGAGATCACAGCGTTTATACGGACAGACGGACATGGCTAGATCGACTCGGCTGATCAAGAATAAGTACATATACTTTATGGGGTCGGAAACGATTCCTGCTGCCCGTTAAATGCTTTCCGACGATTCTAGTATACCCTTTTACTCTACGAGTAACGGGTATTATTTTATTTTTTCGTGTATATATATCGCACACTCTCCTGGTGCGCTTCGTCAATGATGCTGTTAATATTACATAATGTTTAATGACCACCTAAAATAACTCATTGAATTTATGAATATACAGTAAGCACAAGAATTATTCGTACACTTTGAAGTTTAAACTTCATTTATTTATAAGTCAACAAATATTAAAGGTATTCCAAATTATATTTTTCCATAATGAGGATTTAATGTGTAACATTTTCGTACACTTCAATAAATTTAATATTTAAATATTTTGTTATTTGTAATGTTCTTACAGTTTTTTTTAACGCCCACCCATGTTTTTCAATAAGTTATTCATGTTTTAGGTCAGCCCATTCAGGCTGCAGATCCATTTTCAGTGTTGCTTTTGATGAAATGTTATGCTTCCTTCTTTTCTTTATTACAAACATGCTCATTAGGATTTAAGCCCGGTGATTGGGGAGGTAACTTGCGCTGCTTGCAGTGATAAACAACCCATTCATGCACTAAATATGAGCCATGTTTCGTTTTGTTATCTTCGTGATAAAAAAAATCAATTCAAACCTCTTTTTTTTGTTGATGGTACGTAACTCTCGAGGTAAGTGTATTAGGCCTCCCAGCTTTTTTGTGATTTTCAGCTATTTCTCCGGTACTGACATATTTATGTGACTTCCAAAGGGTTTTACCAAACATAATTTGAATATAGTTTTTCTCATTTCTAGAAACAAGTCTGTACCTCGTCCCATTTACCCGATCTCAACAAGAAACGTAGCCAAAAAGACTTCAATTATGACAGAAATTTGGAAGTGCAAAGCTCAAAAAAGAAACGCCGATTACCGTTGCGTAAAAGCTGACGATATCAGTAATATATACATATAAATAATTTTGGTGCCATATTTTTCGTAAATTTTTTGCTTTTCTGTCGTTTTCTTCGTACACAATAAAAAGAATAAGAATAAGTTTACGAATAGCTATTGTGCTCACTGTAAGTTGATAACTGGTATTTGGTTTCTAGGAACCAATCAATTTTTTTTTCATTTTAGGAAAAAGTCGGAAACGAATATATTTTAAGGCTTTACTTTATTCATATGTGGATTAAAGTGTCCAGTCAGATTCGGTTCGCTTATTACAGTTCTCGGACGAAGGGAACAGCGTAGTGGGGCACATATTGCGAGTAGGCTCCGGCGGATCCGTAGCTGGGGGATGGAGAATTGCAGGGCACGGGCTGCAGAGACGGCTGGCAGCTGAATAAATAGTTCTTTGGGCACGGCGGCGATGGAATGGTTGCCGGGGCTGAGTAGGTGGGTGCGGCTGGAGCTGAGTATGAGGGACCGGCAGGAGCAGAGTAGGACTGGGCAGCTGGAGCAGAGTAGGACTGGGCAGCTGGAGCAGAGTAGGACTGGACAGCTGGAGCCGAGTAGGACTGGGCAGCTGGAGCCGAGTAGGACTGGGCAGCTGGAGCCGAGTAGGAGGAGGAAGCTGGAGCCGATGCAGCTGGAGCTCCATATCCGCCGTAGGCACCGCGCGACACACGAATGTTCTCAGCCAGAGGAGCTGGGATTAGGATTCCCTGCGTGGGCTGCAGCTGGATGGTCTCGGCGGACACTGCGGACAATGCCAAAACACCGGCGATGAGAAAGTGACCAAAGTTGAATGCCATTGCGGAGGGTCTTGCTGCAGAAGTGGAGAACGAAATTTGACTGTTGACTAAACCTCAGAGCCAACCCTCTTTATAGCGCAAGCCAAAAACGCTGATTGCAATCACGGAGTAGAACGCCAGCCAGCATAAAAATTGTAAGTGGAATCACCACAGCCTGAAAACTGCTGACAGCCCCCAACCAGAGGGCGACTTTGGAGCAAGGTAGTGATCAGCTCTTTTTAGAAATGGCTCATACAACGACGCTTTGGTTTCTGGTCTTGGTGACCTTAAGTCCCACATGGCTCCTCTGGCGAGTACGGGCCGCCATAGTCACTTCCGCAACGAAGTTTTTGTTACTAGACCGTCAAATTGCCGAACGCAATCAGAGTTGGGCCCACCGTCTCCCAATAAACTTCTATTCCGAGTTGAACCAGCAGTACTACAGGAGATTTCGTCGACACGCTGGCATGATGGTCTTATTTGGAACAGAAAATCGGCACCAGCACCCATTCGAATATGCTCGATTTGTCTGATAATAAATTTTACTAAATTAATCATTAGTTTTTATTTATTTTGCAGATGAGGGCTAAACAAAAACTATAATTTAATTATATTACATACAAAAAGTCTACCACGACCGAAAAATTAAAACACCGATTTGTTTACCATGATCCGAGGTGTATAATTCCAAAGTCGCGCATTGTATTTTTTGGTTTTTGCACATTTAAATGGGTCACTTGGTTTTGATGCTAGATCATAAAGAGCGAGAAAATAATATGACTTTACCTCTCTCAACTCTTTGTTGGAACGTAATGAAAGGGGAAAAAATTAAAAGAGAAAGAGAAGAGAATAAAAAAATAAATAAATAAATAATAATAGAATAAAAATTTTAACTGAAATGTATTGTTCTCATTAATACCTATCGATTGACCCAAAAAAAAGTTAGCCACGCCCACAAACTTCAAAAAATCGTTAATACGAACGCGGATATCTCGGAAACTATCAAAGATAGAGACACGGGATCTCAGATTTGAATTCCGAAACCTTGTACGCAGCGCAAGTTTGTCACGCGAATATGCCACGCCCACTCTAACGCCCACAAACCGCCCAAACCTGTGGAGCCCACACAATACAATTTTTTAGCTGAAATGTATTGGTTTTGTCAATACCTATCGATTGATCCAAAAAAAAGATTGCCACGTTGACTCTAACGCCCACAAGCCGACCAAACCTGTGTCGCCCACAATTTGCATGCTAAATACAATTTTTTAGCTGAAATGTATTGGTTTTGTCAATACCTATCGATTGATCCAAAAAAAAGATTGCCACGTTAACTCTAACGCCCACAAGCCGACCAAACCTGTGGCGCCCACAATTTGCATGCTAAATAAAAAATTTTAACTGAAATGTATTGGTCTCGTCAATACCTATCGATTGGTCCAAAAAAAAGTTTGCCACGGCCACTCTAACGCCCATAACGCTTAAATCTGTCTACCGCCCACAAAACCATATATTGAGATCACGGGTATGTGGCGCATTTCAATCTCGCTTGCATATCTCCATTTCCCTTTGGTCCCTTTATCTGATAGTCGAGGTACTCGACTATAGCTTTCTTCCTTGTTTTTGTAGTCCCACTATCGTATTCTCTACGTCAAAATCTCTCACTGCAAGAACATCAGAACTTAAACCTAAACTTAAACAGTTATTATGCCGACAAACAAACTGTAAATGTTAAAAATCAACAAAGTTGGTCCCGAGCAACATCGTTAGTTTTCGCAAAAAAATGTATTTTTTTTATGAGTTTAATTCTTTTGTTTTTTGTTTTATATAAATATAGATGGATGGCGAAAAGAATAGGAATGGCTGCAAACGTTGGAGAGACAAATTAAAAAAGGATCAAGTAAAATTTAAAACATTTAAACTTAAAAATAATGAAAGAAATCGGCAAGTGAAAAAAAATGGCTGAAAGAGATGATAAAAAAACACCAGTTTACAAAAAACAAGGAAGAACGCTATAGTCGAGTACCCCGACTATCAGATACCCGTTACTCAGCTAAAGGGACCAAAGGGAAATGGAGATATGCAAGCAGCAGAGCGAGATTAAAATGCGCCACCTGCCGGCGGTAGACAGATTTAAGCGTTATGGGCGTTAGAGTGGGCGTGGCAAACTTTTTTGGATCAATCGATAGGTTTTGATAAGAACAATACATTTCAGTTAAAATTTTTATTATAGCATCAAAACTGTAGGAGCCACAGTTTTGGGCGGTTTGTGGGCGTTAGAGTGGGCGTGGCACATTGCTGAAACAAACTTGCGCTGCGTAAGAAGCTCAGGAATCTGCACGATAAATCTCAACAGCCTAACTCTTATAGTTTCCGAGATCTCAGCGTTCATCCGGACAGACGGACAGACTGACAGACGGACATGGCTAGATCGACTCGGCTAGTGATCCTGATCAAGAATATATATACTTTATGGGGTCGGAAACGCTTCCTTCTGCCTGTTACATACTTTCCGACGAATCTAGTATACCCTTTTACTCTACGGGTATAAAAATCAATGAAATACGCCTTTAAGGAAACCTTTGTTTTCCGATAAGGTACATCTCCCTGATTAAGAAAAGGGCACTTAAAATTTTTGTATGGTCCCTTTTTTTTAGTGTAAAAAATGTTCTTCGCACTTTCTTATTTTTTAAATCGAGTTCTGATAAACTGAATGAGGTTATCAACGACTTATTTTACAAGTAATAGAACTCCCTTTAACTTTCTTATACACAGCATAAAGTTTCATTCATTAGTTTAGAAGCTACATGACGTCAAATTGGAAAAAGTTGGAAAAAATGACAAAACGCTGGCATAAACGGCATCTTTAAAAATACACGCCCAGAAACCGAAATTAGTTTTATGTTGTTTTCTTGAAGGCTAAACCTTAACGGAGAATATACGCCATTGATAACGACAATCCGTTGGTAAATCGATTTTTTACAGATTTTTAAACGTATATACCCAAATTCAGTATTTTCAGTGTTGGGGAACGTAAGAATTTGGTGCAAGTTGTTATGCATAACGTCAGTTTCCGTGCAATTTCCTTGCTAAAAATATATGAAAATGATTTCCTCGTAACTGCAATCGCATACTTTTTAGCTTGCACCAAATTCTTACGTTCCCCAACACTGAAAATTTAAAATAGTGTTTAAGAAAGTTAAAGGGCATTCTATTACCTGTAAAATGAGTCTATGATGTCCGAATTCGGTTTATCAGAACTCGAGTTAAAAATAAAAAAGTGCGAAAAACGTTTTTTACACTTTAAAAAAAATTGGTACCATAGAAAAAATTTTAAGTGCCCTTTTCTTAATCAGGGAGATGTACCTTACCGGAAAACAAAGGTTTTCTTGAAGGCGTATTTCATCGATTTTTTGGTGTAATCGAAGAAAGAAAGAGATATGAGCGAACAAGAAAAAGAGAACTTAGAAAAAAAGTAAAAGAATTAAAATATGCAGGAAAAAATGATATCTTGCCTTACTCATGCAAACAAACTTTTGGAAAAGCATTACAAAAATTAGAGAATGCTTTGCCTGCAAATTTGGAACGAAAAAATATGTTGATTAAAGCAATAAGAGATATGTCGGGCCCATGGAAAGAGAAGAAAATAAAAAGAAAGGCCTTAAAGCAGTTAATGAAAAGGTAGCTCAGGCCGTCAAACAGTTTTATACGATGAAAGACATCAGTGTGCAGTCCTCGGGAAAGAAGGATACAATGTTTTCTGAAGGGCAACTAGTAGCCTAACGCTTTCTGTTGATGACAGAGTCTGAAGCGTACGAGCTTTTCAAAAATGAGAATACCAACAATCAATAGGCAAATTCACATTTTTTGGATGGCGACCTCGTCAAGTACAATTGATATACAAAATGCCCTACAATATGTGCGTTTGCGTATACCATGCCAATTTCGGGTATTTGTTACAAAGATTCGGAACCATTATACCTTCACTTCCCACCAATTTTGAAAGTTTTCTTAAATCTGTTTGCTGCAATATTTTTAATGAAAATTGCATGACAAACATTTGCAAGAAGTGCATTACAGATATAAAATATCAGTTCATTTCTCTAGCATATTGAAAAAATATGGAAGACGAAGTAAAATGCAGCATTGGTTAAAAAATGATAAGCAAATCAATTTGTGCACTATTAATGCAACCTTTTCCGGCCTAATATTTGCTTTGGAAACTAAATTACCTTCTTTTAAAGCTCATTTTTTTGTCAAAAGAGTTTAGGAGGAGTACTTCCAAAAAATTAAAGCAAACCTAAAACCGACTAAATTTGCCATTCAGACTGATTTCGCGGAAAACTATAGACTAACAAATCATCAATCATTTTTTCTGACGGTTGCTGTTCTCAGTTTAAAAACAAGGAAGAACGCTATAGTCGAGTACCTCGACTATCAGATACCAGTTACTCAGCTAAATAGAGATATGCAAGTAGCAAAGCGAGATTAAAATGCGCCACCTACCGGCGGTATACAGATTTAAGCGTTATGGGCGTTAGCATGAAAATTGTGGGCGCCACAGGTTTTCGCGGCTTGTGGGCGGTAAAGTGGGCGTGGCAAATTTTTTTTTAGACCAATCGATAGGTATTGATGAAAAAAATACATTTCAGTTAAAATTTTTTATCTAGCATGAAAATTGTGGGCGTCACAGGTTTTCGCGGTTTGTGGGCGTGGCAAACTTTTTTTGGATCAATCGATAGGTATTGATAAGAACAATACATTTCAGTTAAAATTTTCTATTTAGCATCAAAACTGTAGGAGCCACAGTTTTGGGCGGTTTGTGGGCGTTAGAGTGGGCGTGGCACTCTACTGAAACAAACTTGCGCTGCGCAGGAATCTCAGGAATCTGCGTGCCTAATCCCAGTATTGTAACTCTCATAGTTTCCGAGATCTCAGCGTTCATACGGACAGACGGACAGACGGACATGGCTAGATCGACTCGGCTAGTGATCCTGATCAAGAATATATATACTTTATGGGGTCGGAAGCGCTTCCTTCTGCCTGTTACATACTTTCCGACGAATCTAGTATACCCTTTTACTCTACGAGTAACGGGTATAATAAGTGGATAATGTCAAGCCTGTTTGATTTTGTAAATCATTTGAAATGCGCCTGAATTGAATGGATTTGTTTGCAAGTTCTCATAAAAGAGTTGATGGAGTTGGAGCAGTAATAAAAAAGAATGTGTGGCAAATAACAAGGTCCAGAAAAGTCGTTATACCAGACGCATTTTTATTTTATGAATATGCTAAAAATTACATTGATAATATCAATATTTATTTTTTATCATCCGACAACATTGAAGAGCAGTCCATAGAGTATAACTTACAAGAAAAGTGGAACAAAATTAAGAATATTCATGGGATATCTAATTTTCACTATTTTTATTGTAATGCCCACGAACAAAAGGCTGATAGAACAGCTAATTCGGATGAAAAAAAAATGATCAATTACTTTGATTTAATTATATTATATATTTTATTATATTTATATTTTTCTAAATAAAAATGTT